ACTAGTCCTTTTAAGCTAATGAGGAGACGTTTTCTTTTTGGATTTTAATGTGTAAATAAAATGCACCTCAGAAGGGAGGAGGTTTCTCATTTTTTATATTAATGTCTTCGGATAAATGTCAGAAGCTGTAAAATGAAGACACAGAAGGCAAACGGTTGTGGTCTATAGGTGCTTGTCATATAATTAGAATATCATCAAAAAGTTGATTTATTTCAGTAATTACATTCAAAAGTCAAACTTAGATATTCATTCATTACACACAGACATGATATATTTCAAATGTTTATTTCATTTAATTGTGATGATTAAAACTGACAACTAATGAAAATCCCAAATTCAGTATCTCAGAAAATTAGAATATTACTTGAATATTTACTTTGAAATGTTGGCCAACTGAAAAGTATGAACATGAAAAGTATGAGCATGTACAGCACTCAATACTTAGTTGGGGCTCCTTTTGCCTGAATTACTGCAGCCATGCGGCGTGGCATGGAGGTGATCAGTCTGTGGCACTGCTCAGGTGTTATGAGAGCCCAGGTTGCTCTGATAGTGGCCTTCAGCTCTTCTGCATTGTTGGGTCTGGCGTATCGCATCTTCCTCTTCACAATACCCCATAGATTTTCTATAGGGTTAAGGTCAGGTGAGTTTGCTGGCCAATTAAGAACAGCGATACCATTACTGGTACTGGTAGCTTTGGCACTGTGTGCACGTGCCAAGTCGTGTTGGAAAAATCCCTATTGCTTGTCCACTTTTTTCTACCACATCTTTTCCTTCCCTTCGCCTCTCTATTAATGTGCTTGGACACAGAGCTCTGTGAACAGCCAGCCTCTTTAGCAATGACCTTTTGTGTCTTACCCTCCTTGTGCAAGGTGTCAATGGTCGTCTTTTGGACAGCTGTCAAGTCAGCGGTCTTCCCCATGATTGTGTAGCCTACAGAACTAGACTGAGGGACCATTTAAAGGCCTTTGCAGGTGTTTTGAGTTAATTAGCTGATTAGAGTGTGGCACCAGGTGTCTTCAATATTGAACGTTTTCACAATATTCTAATTTTTTGAGATACTGATTTTGGGTTTTTCATTAGTTGTCAGTTATAATCATCAAAATTAAAAGGAATGAACACTTGAAATATATCAGTCTGTGTGGAATGAATGTATACATTATACAAGTTTCACTTTTTGGATGGAATTACTGAAATAATCAACTTTTTGATGATATTCTAATTATATGACCAGCACCTGTATAATGGTTCTGGGGTCATATTAACAGGGTTTTCCTGCCATTAAAGCTTAGGGGTGCCATCAATGTAAAATCACTGTGGAGCAACAGAACCAACCAAATTAGTTTCTCCAGATCTAAAGGTTGTAGTTCCTCCAGTAGACTGATCTTTGTTTATTTATTATCTGCTCTAGCTTTTCCAACTATTTGTTAAAATAATGGCCCAGTATGATGTGAAATTACATATTTTTCATTGGAAAACATACAATTTTCTTGGGGGAAGCTCCACCAAACCCCCTAAAAAATTTTTTTGCTTCACCTTCGCTGCTACAACTCCATCCTAGGTTTGTGAAGGGGGAGTGGGGGGGTGCTGTTCTCCTGTACTCTGTAATCACACAGTAACAACGAGCTATGTGCTGTTCTCCCATTCTCACTCTGTATTTACACTTAAACATCAAGGCGTGTAAGGTATCATGTTAAAGGTATTTTCTATTATTATTATTATTTATTTATTTTCGGTTGATTGTCCCAGCATAAATAATGGCGTCGGCTGTGGCTGTGGAGTTGAGCTCCCCAGATTTTACCTATAAATGTAAGTATTGGATTTCAACTCACTTCAAAAGCCAACTACACAAATGTAAAAATAACGAGGCATAAAAGCACAATGTGTCGTTTAAAGAATAGTTTTGTGGAAGAAGTTAACGTGGGTTAAGTGATTAACTGGCGAGCTAATGTTACCTGAGGTTATTGATGTGCTAACGTTAACATTAAATGCAACTCGGCTGGGCAAGTTACAACCTCAAAAATAAAGCCTTTAACGTCTTCACATAAAATCGAAGAGGTTCAGAGTCAGACCTGCGTCTTACCGAGATTGTTGCAATATTATACATCACTTATACTTAATATTATGTACATGAAAATACCACGTAACGTTAGACTAATTTAACGTTAGACGGGTTGTGAACCCTGCTTGGTTTTCAGAAAGTTAACGTTAGTAACAGTTACAAAAACCTTTGGATATAGTACACGGTTAATGTAACTAGGTTATTTTGCGATTTATACAGCTTACTGTTTGGTGATGTGAGCAAAAAACGTACTTGAACATGTCGTTTTGTTTTGGGGAGCAAGGAGCAAACTGCCCCAAAATTTTCTGCCAACGTGGCTTGGAGGTAGTTAAAGTATCAATAGCCCTTTTGTAATATCTGCATTTAATCATTGTGTACTTAAAGTTACAGTTAAATGAGCCGCCATCCTATACATAGCCTTTAACAATCAGACAACTAGTAGATGTGGCAGCCCTTTGTTGTGTTTTTGTGTCTCTGTCCTGCCCTGTCACCTTTTCCAGTCTTCACAAAATTACCATTTCTTTTGAAGGTGACTTCCCTCCAAGCAAATAAAAAGTGGGACAATAAAAAAAAAAATAATAAAAAATACAAAGTATGTATGTGTGATTTGAAATTTATATATTCTGTATACATTTTTTTAAATAATTTTTGTATAACTCGTTCACTGTGTAGCATAAAGGGAACTACAAACTGCATTCATCTTACAACCCCGTTTTAATATAATACATACATTTACCTTGTACGTTGTATATTCATTTAATTCATTTTAGCCATGCAAATTAATAAACACAGTTGCTGAAATTTGTTTTTCTGCTGTTGTTAGTTACCATGATTGATTTCCTGTGCCTTAGGATTGCAAGTGTCCAGGGTCAGGAGTGGGTGTAGGGGGGAAGCCCACTGCTGCAACTTGGCCCTGGTTTGTCCTCATGGATGAGGTGTTGGGACAGAGGCATTCCACCATCCCACCTGTCGTAATTGCCTCTATCCCTGAGGACACACCAGGGCCAAGTACTGCAGTGGGTGACCAGGAGGAGGAAGAGGAGGAGGAGGAGAGCCAGCCAAGAAAGAGAAAGAGGGACAGAGAGGATGAGCTCCAGGGCCTCAATTGTGGCACCCCATCCGTGTCTCCGTTCCTGGTTTAGGAGGCCCAGTAACACTCCCAGGGCCTCCCTGCTCAACCGGAAATCCGGCCGTGTGTCCTGCTGGCTAAAAACCTGTCCAGCACAGGAACACTCAGATTTATCCTGCAGTACAGGGGCCGGGGCTGCTTTAGGGATACAAGGAGAAGAACAACTGTTATGAAGTGTAGAGAGCTTAGTTAGATAAGGCTTGTATATCTTTCTATTCAACTTGCTTGAGCTGATCAATGACAAAAACTGTCAATATTTTAATATTAAAGTAAGGTTAGGTTTTCTTTAAATATGAAATTATGCTGTTGAAGAGAAATGGCAGTAGCAATAAACTACGTTAACTGTGGTTAACGTCAGTGTTAGCTTTAGGAAGCCTATAGTACCTAAATACATATAAAATGTAACGTTTCTTAGTTACTTTCCCCCGTATTTACCTGGCCAGGGTCCTCTCTCAGCCTGACATACATCATGTGGCAGCGCTGGCGGTGAAGTACCTCTAGTTCCTCTATTAAGATGTAAAATATTAATATTAAAATATTAGTCTCCCTGCCGGTGGGCCGCAGCTGTGAATGTTGCTAGGCGACAGGAGCGGCGCTTCCCCACGCATGGGTAAGGGCGGGGTCAGTTGATGATGCAATAGACAGTCCTCCGTAGACCAGACCGTCTCATTTCACAACGGTCGGTTCGGCCTTCTGCGGCCGCATGCCTTCGTAGGCCGTGAAGGCCACACCCTTCGAAGGATGCGGTCCCTGAATTGAGACACAGCTACTGTATGCTTTTAAGAGGAAAGTACATGAACATACTCAGTGGGGAAAGTATTGACAGGATTAAAAAAACAAAATAGATGACTTGGGAAAATTCTGTTGGTTAGAGGCTCTGAATTCTGATTAATCGTCCAACCCTATTTTTAGTGTGGCTAGAAATGTCAAGTCTTTAAAAACAGAAACTGGGTAGTTGCTGTAAACTACACATAATGTAAATATAACATCAAGAACACAGATACATTGTCTTATTTTAGTGTTCATCTGGTTCCACAGTAAATGTCAAACATCGGCCCAAACAAAGAAAAGTCTTGGAAGTTTTTCGTTCGCTGCAAACATAACATGACACAAATCTCATATTTTGGCTAAAGTTTTCAGCAAAGATACTATAAGTCATAAACATTTGCTTCACTTCCTGTGGAGTCAAAAATAGGAAATATTGACTCTGTCATTACAGGCCACACTTAACCCCCCTTTACTGCTGCATCATCGCTGCGTTAACGCGGGAGGAAGTGTGTGAGTTGAAACGAGTAACATCTTTAGGCCAGGATATCAGGACATTTCTGCGACACGACGATATTTAATATAAAATGGTACTAACTTTAATAAATTGGAAGGTTACAGTGACCATGTAGTGATTTCGATAAAACTTTGATCATATATTCAACCCTAATGCAGATGCTTTCATACAAAGCACGAGGGCTCACTGAAGGGTTTGCTAAGTTTGAAAAGGATGAACGTATGAGAAGAAATCTATTGATAGAATGCTGTGTTCCATAGACACAGAGCATTGAAGCTGTTCTGGAGGTCCATAGTGGAACAGTAGGCTACCTTACTAAGATGTGGCCTGTGTTTTGGGTGGGTTGCTCAAATGAAAAATCTATACGTGAAACACTACAAGTCTACAATTTCTTTTGTCATACATACCAACATTTTCAAATTTTCCTGTGTCAAAAAACTTACATTGCATTAAAGTCAGTGCAATTACATGTAAGTGTGCACATGAAGTTACTGGTATAAAGTAATTTTTCTACGTTCTTATGAATAGTGAAATGTTTTGGTTGTAATTGTTTTGTATGTTCATAGCTTGACTCTGTTTTCTGCAGGACAAGAACAAGCTGATGGATGCTCTGAAGCATGCGTCCAACATGCTGGGTGAGCTGAGGACCTCAATGCTTTCTCCAAAGAGCTACTATGAGCTCTGTATCCTTTACAGTTGTAAGTTATAGATGTTGGAAATTGCACTGACGACAGATACACGATACATGGTCCTTTACTTTTTGTAAATTCTAAACTCCAGGGAAACTAATTACAGAAAAGACAGCATGAGCAAACTAGTGGAAACTATTTCAACTCCAACATGGTCTTCAGCACACTAGTGAGAGAGCTTTTCTTCTGACTACACCAAAGATGATGGACAACCCGGCCCAGCATTACTTAAAACAGATAACAGGTTTTTATTATAGACGTCTGCGACTAGCACAGTAACAAAGCACCGAAACACCACACAGGTTCAGGTCAGACAAGCAAATCCGCCCAGTATCCCCTCTAGATTTCTCTGTTGTTGACAATATGAGCACCATGTGAGTCCCACAGCAGAACAGTGCTATTATATTTATATTTAATCATTTAGCTGACATTTAGCTTTAATCCAAAGCGACGTACAATTGATATCAGAGGCTGCACACCTCTGGAGCAACTAGGGGTCTCGCTCAGTGTTTGTTTATGTTTTCTGAACCGTACTTCCATATTCCTACGCATAAACTCAACGTGGCTGCGCACTGTAGAAAGGAAAAGGCTGTCTCGAGCAAGGTAAAGCACTGAAAATATTAAACGTTCAGGTGGTTATAATATGTTAGCTGCTGACTCTGTCCAAAGCAGTACATTGCTTAGCTTCTGGGTCGGTAGCGAGCGGACGACATGCAGCACAGGGCCATGTGGATATCTTAACGACAGTTCTGTTTAAAAATATCATTGGCTCTATTGGTCCTGAAGTGCATAGTATAATCAAAGGTTCTCTGTTATGTGGTTGTATTGCTTATTGCTAACAAGCTGTTATTCAACCATTTCAGTCTGATGTTCACAGGTTGCACTCAGCAATGAGTATTGTAATGATGTATTTCTGTGTTTGTTCTGTTGAATTTCACTGCAGCTTTTGATCCTGTGGACCCCCATATCTTTGTTTAGAGACTCAATCCACCATGGCACGATGTGTTACCGAAACTTGGGTGACCTATGCTTTAATGTGCCTGAACACATCCTGTGTAGACATTTGATAGAGGAAGCTGAAGTTGGCTCTGCTATTGACATGCTGGAAACAGTTAATTTTGTTTATGGATGATTTATGTTTGGTTTGCACTGGTCCCTAACAGTTTTTTAAGATATGGCTATCTCTGATGAACTCCACTACCTAGAAGTGTACCTGACTGATGAGTTTGCCAAGGGACGGAAGGTGGCAGATCTCTATGAGCTGGTCCAGTATGCAGGCAACATCATCCCCAGACTGTGAGTATCACTGTAACTGAACTTTGATCAAACATGAAGTGGCTTTGATGCATCTCAACTTCATCAAGCCAAAATATTCCAAGTGAGTACAGAATAAATCCCACATATAAACATACAAACAGGTAGTACCCTCAGCTGTCTGTCCGTTGTTGCGTCTCAATTTGCGCCCTTCCATACTTACTATTTTGAGGGCATGAGTGGGTTCACACTTAGAAGTATGGCAAAATGCAGTGCACTGTGACCCGGATGGTGCACTCATAACGGCCAAAAAGTTGTGTGGAACGCTGGACACTTGTCACCCTCAACGGCTGCCATTTTAGCAACGTAGCGGAAGGGGGCGGGACCAACAACACAGGGGAAGCAGAAAGCAGCAGAGAGAGAGGCCAACAACTGAACGTCTTTACAAGTTTCGTTCACTTTTTCATCACTAAATCCACTTCTGAGAAGTTATGAGGCGAGAAATCAACTGTGTAGATGTTGAATATTGACAGTTTTATGAAAATTGATGGTGAATCGAAAATGTGCTCAAATATTTTTGGAGTTTAGAAGCTCCACAACCGGCGCCGGGTGAAGATAGTGAGCCGGCCTGCCAATCACACTCACACAGACCACTGCAGCCAAAGCAGCAGCTGACTCCAGCAGCAACGGCAGAGGAAACCACAACTGTAAGATAGTTTTAATGTTCAGATCGCTGTTGTTCTGTTTAATCAAATCAAGGGACTTCTGGCTCGTGATGTAGGCAACTGAAAATTCTTGGCTTGTGAAAATTTTAATTATTAAAATAAATAAACAACAGAAATAGTAGGAAATACCAATACATCTTATACCAATACACCTACCTCAGGTCATAAGATCATAGGTCTTATTTATTTTTTCCAGCATCCTTTGCACTATGCTCCATCACACTGTGTACATGTATGCATGTATGTGTATGTGTACCTGTATATCATATCCACCTTCAACATGTACATAATGAGAATAATAGTTTAGTCTTGCATCCTTTGCACTCTGATCACTGCACTATTTGTCAATATGTCTATATTGTTTTGTTCATAGTGTGTATATTAGTGTTGTCTATTCTGTAATTTGTGTGTGATATTATTTTATTATTGTGTTATGGTATTTTTGTATGAGTAAGCACGTCATGAGTAATGTACAATCCTGAGTCATATTCCTCGTATGTGTACACATACCTAGCCACATACCTGATTCTGAAAAGGTGACAGTCGTTACTTTATTATTATTTTTATACCAGACATTACATTGTTAGTGTACAGTTTTGGTTACAATATATGCTTTCTACTGCTTTTATTTTATATAATTCTTATTTATGCACCAATATACTGAAGCAAATTCCTTAATAAACCCGATTCTGAGCATTTTATTTTGGGTGATAAAACCTGGCTGTAATTTTGGAGCTTTGCAGGCGGCGGTGAAATGTTAATCTCTCATACAAAACTATGTAACTTAATTTAAATGCTTTTAAAATTTTTAAAGAAGATGTACATCTTTAAATGTAAAAAGTCTGGCTGTGCTAAATGGCATGTCTGTTCTAAATAAGCTCACAAGAATTTGTTTTATTAATGACTTTACTGCTGTATACTTTGACTTTTTTTGCTGCTCTGAAAATGGTTATAATAAGACATTAAATCTTATCCTATTCTGAATTTTTTCTTTTTTTAAATAATAAATTTTTTAAAAGGGCAATGATTTAGTAATTAAAAACCGATAAGAGCAGGGATTGTTGGACCAATTTTGATATGCAAGAATGTTGATTTGCAGCTATGATACACTGCTTCCTTTTTCTGATGGATTTACTTTATTATTTATAAAGATTAAACATGACATAACTTTTGTGTTATTTGATACGATACGCTTAAAGGCATTTCAACAAAGTTCGTTTGTTGTTCTAAATTTTGACACAAGATGTCATTTTTACAGCAAATCTTTATTGGTTTCAAACATCGGTCATTGGTTACTAATAAACTAAGTTTCTATATCGGCCCAGAAAAAAACATATCGGTCAACCCCTAGTAGATGTGCACACACGTAATTTCTTCCTACGTCTGCCCCAGGGGCGTCCTCCCCTAACCCTCCTACAGCTGTTAACGTGAGCAGATTCATTGCTCAGCAGATACCGCTGAGAAAGAGATGAGCGGCTGGTTTGGAGCGGATGCTGCCATCTTAGCCAGCAGCCAAGGCATACTAGAAATAGCCTTTATTACTTTAAAGCATTGGAATATGTGAATTAATCAGATCAAGCCTATTTGCTTTGCCCCTCTCTCCCCAGCTATCTGCTAATCACAGTGGGTGTGGTGTACGTTCGCTCCTTCCCCCAGTCTCGTAAGGACATTCTGAAGGACCTGGTCGAGATGTGCCGTGGTGTCCAGCACCCACTCAGGGGCCTCTTCCTTAGAAACTACCTGCTGCAGTGCACCCGCAACATACTGCCAGATGACGGAGAGCAGTCTGAGTAAGCAAGTCAATCCTTTTCTCTTTGTGTGTCTCATACACTGCACTTTCCCATAATAGGTTATTGGGAAATGGCTTGCTTTTATGGCTTTACAATATGCCTCTCATCAACCATGGCAGTGAGCTAGCATGTGTCGTGCTGGCCTGACCATCGGGAGCAATTTGGGGTTCTATGTCTTGCCCAAGGACACTTTGACATGTGGGGATCAAACCGCCAACCCCATGAACAGTGGATGATCCGCTCTACTTCCTGAACCACAGCTTGGAAGAGATTGGAATGGAATTCTGATTTACTAAAATGAGAAATTACCATTGGAATTCACTCTGCAATTACTGACCATCTCCCTGTCACTTAATGTTCGAATATGGACTAGTTCTTTTAACTACCAACTCAATGACACTATTACACATCCTTCCTCTAAGACATTGATTTCAGAAAGGCATTGGTGATGTGGTTAGCGCAGTTAAATGTCATGTATGTTGGAAATAGTCACAGCACGGAACTTCCCCTGAAAGCATTTTATGCCTTTACTAAAACGTTCACAGTAGAGAGATGATAGGAAATCCAAGAGTGAGAATGACTGGGAGAACCCTCACCTGTTAAAGTGCAACGAGAAAACCTCAGATATGATTTGGTGCTTTTTAAATAAAATTGAATTGACGAAAGTGCTTGGCTGGTTTCAAACCAGAAGTCTTGATCAAGGGATCAGAAGCCAGAGTTGCAGTGGAGGTGGTGGTGGTTTCTGACTCTGGCTTCTGTTGTTGTCACACATTAGAAATGCATCAAAAGTCTATGAGAAGTTGGATAATGTAGTGTAAAGTTTGAATATGGAGATGCATTCTGGAAAAAATTTCACTTATAAACATAAATAGTGCCAGATATTTCAATATGGTCACATTTAGCAAGTTAGGATTTGTTTGTACATTGAGTACATATTATAGGACTGGGCGATATGAACAAAAAATCCTATCCCGGTATTTATAGGCTGAATTCCGATACACAATATATTTCGGTATTTTCTACGAAGTGTGCTAAATGTTCAGTTCTACGTCAAAGCCACATTTGAGATGTAGGATCAAACATCTGATCTTTTAAATCCCAAAAATGTCTAAATAACTGATTTTTTAACTCATTTTTCTTTTTACAAACAAGGTCTTCAACGGTGTCGACCGGTACTATGTCTCCCTCCATGTTGCTAGAGAATTTGTGAGCATCCACACTATAAAAATAAATCTAAAGTTTTTTTTAAACTGAGTTTTAAAACAAAAACAATCTCTGTCCATACCAGCGTTTTACAAAACAGGTACAAAGTGACTGATGGCAGAAAACAGACACAGTCCACCATCTCATCCCCCACCTCCTCCCCCTCTCTTACCATCCTAGAGAGGGACGTCAACAGACTGTTCAGGAGGCAGAAACCTCGCAAAGCAGCTGGGCCGGACTCTGTCTCCCCATCCAGCCCGAAGCACTGTGCTGATCAGCTGTCTCCTGTATTCACAGACATTTTTAACACCTCACTGGAGTCATGCCATGTGCCAGCCTGCTTCAAAGCCTCCACCATCATCCCTGTTCCCAAAAAACAAAGGACCACAGGACTAAACGACTTCAGACCCGTCGCCCTGACCTCTGTGGTTATGAAATCTTTTGAGCGCCTTGTGTTGTCCCACCTTAAATCCATCACAAACCCTCTTCTGGACCCCCTGCAGTTTGCCTACAGAGCCAACAGGTCTGTAGACGACGCAGTAAACATGGCCCTTCACTACGTTCTCTAGCACCTGGACTCCCCAGGAACCCAACGCCAGGATCCTGTTTGTGGACTCTGCTTTCAACACCATCATCCTCTCTCAGCTGAACGTGCCTGACTCTACCTGCAGGTGGATCACAGACTTCCTGACGGACAGGAAGCAGCACGTCAAGATGGGAAAACATGTCTCTGATTCCAGGACCATCAGCACCGGTTCCCCTCAAGGCTGCGTTCTTTCCCCTCTGCTCTTCTCCCTGTACACCAACAGCTGCACCTCCAGTCACCAGTCCGTCAAGCTCCTGAAGTTTGTTCTTCAGACTCTCCCCTCTGGCAGGAGGCTGCGGTCCATCAGGACCAAAACCTCTCGCCACAAAAATAGCTTCTACCCGTCTACAATACAATCGTCTTTGCACATGTAAATATCACTTCATGTCATATCATGCACGAACCTGGCACATTGTACATATTTGTTGTTAATTTGTTGTTAATTAGGGCCCGAGCATGACCGTGAGAGGAATTTGTAAAGATTAAATTTTTCTTCTTTCTGCAAAGTAAGCTCCATTTTGGGGATCTGAGCATACTCGAAAACTCACCAAACTTTGCACACATGTCAGAAATGGTGAAAAATTTCGTATTTTATGGGTTTCGCACATGGGGGTGGCAAAATTACTCGCTAGCGGCACGTAGAAAATTGGAAAAAATTAGCCCCCCGTTCACGTTCAACCTACATGCATGAAATTTTCTGGGGACATGTATCATATCAAGACGCACAAAAAAGCCTCAAGAACCCATACCCTAAAGTCAACAGGAGGTCGGCCATTTTGAATTTTTACGGCCATTTTTGTATGATTTACACACTCCGTACTTTAACGTACTCCTCCTAGGGATTTCAAATTCAAATTTCTGCTGTGCCTTCTAAAGGCATTGACGATGAAAAGTTGTGCTATTTGCGAGTTTTCGTCAATGGGCGTGTCTGTGACGTCGATGATTCGCCATGAAACAGGAAGTTGTTGTAACTTCAGTGTACATGCTCACTTCTGCACCAAAGTGTACATGTAGGATGAGAGTCTCGCCCTGAACACATGTACATGCTGACATTCACCCACAGTCATAGCGCCACCTGCTGGCAACAGGAAGTGACTTTTAACGAAGCAGCCCCCGCTGCACGTTTGACCTACGTGCACAAATTTTCTGTGGTACGTGTATCTTGTCCAGACTCACAAAAAAGTCTCTTGGAGCCACAGCCTAAACCCAACAGGAAGTTGGCCATTTTGAATTTTACATCAAATTTTGGATGATTTACACACTCTACTTTAACGAACTCCTCCTAGGGATTTAGTCCGACCGACTTCAAATTTGTGCTGTGCCTTCTAAAGGCATTGAAGATGAAAAGTTGTGCTATCTGTGAGTTTTCATCAATGGGCGTGTCCGTGGCGTGGCGTCAAAGATCAACTCTTCGCCATGACACAGGAAGTTGTCGTAACTTCAGTGTACATGCTCACATCTGAACCAAACTTTACGTGCTCTCCCACCCCCCAGACATCTACACACCAATACCGATTTCATACATAGCGGCAGGTGCTATGTAGCTCCACATAGGGGACACAGGAAGTGACATAACACCTTCATGCGGCGTCGGAACCGCGTAGCAAATTCACAGCCGCACCGGCAGAGCTCCAGAATATGCAACTCGGCTGGCTCACACCCGGACGCGCTACAAGTGCGAGGGCCCGCCCAACGCTGCTTGCAGCTTTAATTCTCTATTGTTATTCTTATATAACTTGCATTTGTTTATTACATATTTATATATTCATACATCTGTTATTGTCAGCTGTATGTCTGCACTAAAACAGTACTTGGCAATAAAGCTCCTTCTGATTCTGTCACAGAAATTTCATACATGTAGATGAAACGTCCTTCAACTTCCTGTTTTGTGGCGAATCATCGATTTTGGACGTCACGCCACAGGTTCCACAAAAAGTCACTGTTTGTCAATGGGTTTTGAGTACACAGCCAAAATTTGAAGTCTGTTGGGTTAATTCTCTAGGAGGAGTTCGTTAAAGTATGAACCCTGTAAATGGTATAAAATGGGTTAAAATTGCACTTTCAATTTAAAATGGTGGATTTCCTGTTGTGTTAAGGGTATGGGTCCTTGAGGGTTTTTTGTGTTTCTTGATATGATGAATGTCCCCAAAAAATTTCGTGCATGTAGGTTGAACGTGGCCAAGGGGCTATCTTCTTCCAATTTTGTAAGTGGAGCTAGCATGCCATTTTGCCACGCCATTTTGCAGGACCCACAAAATACGTAATTTTTCACCAGTTCTGACGTGTGCAAAGTTTGGTGAGTTTTCGAGCATGTTAAGGCTGCCAAAAAAGAGCTTAATTTCAGAAAAAAGGAAACAAAAATCCCTTCAGTTTCAATAGAGACCTCGCACGGTTCGTGCTCGGGCCCTAGAAATACCAAAACAAAAACACTGTCGTTAGCATTGTGTTTTTGCTTTGCACGCCTGATAAGACTCAATCAAGAAGCCAGATGTGAGTGCCTTCATCATCGTTTTCTTTTGAAAATATATCTGTATAATTTATAATACCGATACAGTACACCGCCCAGCCCTAACATATTACGTTAAGAAATTTATAATTGCGGCCTCTATTTTTTACATATTACAAAACACCATTTCATCTAAAAACTCAAAGCTCAAAGCTAGCAACTGAACTGTGTTTCTCAAATGGAGGGGGCTCAGAGAACGACAGGGGGTGCTGGAAGCAATATTTTGGAAGGGGGGACGCTGAGATGCTCTTTGGGGGCGTTTGTTGAGGTGAAAGTTTTAAGGCAAGTTTACACTAAAGATTGACAACAATAACAGATTACACTTTCAACTACTTCCACTGCACAAACTGTGGTTTGCAATATTAAAACCTGCAGGGCACTGTGACTGGATGAGATGGAGTATTGTAACTGTCTGTAAAATTGTATTCATATTTTTTTAATAACAATAGTAACAACACCAATAATAATAATATTTAAAGCTGCAAGCAGTTTTGATTTATGCATTTATGCTCCTCACAGGAGCTTAAATGCCTCACTATGGACATGTTTGTCCGCTAATGTGCTAAATGGGGTAAAAATATGAAAGAGGCCTAAGAAATAAATTTTGAAACATGTTCTTTCCAGATGCCAGTAAGGGGTGCTATTACTATGACTGGATATTGACATGTTGATCTCTAAGGCTATGTTCAGACTGGCGGCCAGTGT